TCATCATCATCATCATCATCATCATCATCATCATCATCATCATCATCATCATCATCATCATCATCATCATTCTCCTCCTCCTCCTCCTCCTCCTCCTCCTCCTTCTCCTCTCTTCTCCTTCTCCTTTTCTTTCTCCTTCTCCGTCTCCTTCTCCTTCTCCTCCTCCTCCTCCTCCTCTTCCTCCTCCTCCTCCTCATGCTCCTCCTGCTGCCCTGCTCCCCTTCCGGCCCTCCTGTTCCTACAACCCCACCTCCGCCCTGCTGCCGTTACTCCCCCACCTGCCCCTGCTGTTGCCGGCCTCCCTCGTCCTGCTCCTTGCTCGTGCTCGTCCTTCTTCTGCGGCCACGCCAGCTCCCTTCTCCTAAGACGAAGCCAAGACGAGAACAACATCGGATGAGGATAACTTGAGGATCTCTGAGACCTGGCGGCTCTAGAGGATGTCTCGGGCGCCGCGGCCTTCTCGAAGCGTTCCGGAACGCTCGGAGATCGTTCCGGAACGCTCTGGAACGGATTTGTCCTCGTGCTAGCCCCGTCCGAAGTCCTCCTGCTCCGGCTCGTGCGTGTTCGCTAGGGCTGCGGGAAGACTGTCACGGTCGCTACGAGACAGCTGCTCCCAGGGTATCCCAGTTCCGCCTATGGAGGGCATCGAACATATTTGAAGGGGAACTGGGACACACAAATAAATACACACAACTAAAAATATCCCCCATAGTTTCCCATATTTTCTGGGTTTTTGTCTTCCCCCCCCACTTCCCATATTTTCCCATATGTTCTGGGAATCGCCGATTAATTGTGTCTGTGTGTGTTTTTTCCCTCCTGAATATTACCCGCATATCTTCCGCAATCAGCTTCCAGGATACCATGGGGCGCTCGAAGCTGTGGCAGCCCTGGAACCCTGCTGGGAGAGAAGACACCCACTTCTCCGCGCGCGCACCCAGAGTGCAGCGTAACAGACTCAGCCACGATACCTGTGGCGCTCATAGACCCCGCCATCAAGTCCCTTTTTTTGTGCCCGGACAGAACACCTGGGCGACACAACCCGAAGGGAGGTGCCCAAGGTGCCTGCATGAATTCACATGCAGTCGGACCTCGCAACACGAACGGCGGCACGGACCGCCCCCGACGTTATCCGCGCCGCCGTTGCGAGGTGCCTCGAGACGCCACCCCGAGACACGGCCACCGGCACCACCCCCACTTGGCCGCCGGCCTCAAGCAGCGGAGGCCCCGCTGCCCAAGGACTTAAGTTCCCGCGCCCCCCACGTCGGGGGACCCCTTCGAGTAACCCCATCGGGCCTCTCAGGGGTGGTACGGCGGGCCCGCACCTACTGTGGCTGGCCAACCACAGGACAAGAGTCTCTCCCACAGCCCCGTCGAGCTGTGGAGACGATCGGGCTGCCAACCCGCCTGTTTTCCTGGGACGCCACGAAGGCACCCAGCGGCACACCGCCATCAAGTCCTGCTCCTCCTCCTCCTCCTCCTCCTCCTCCTCCTCCTCCTCCTCCTCCTCCTCCTCCTCCTCTTCCCCCCCCTGCCCTCCAGAAGATGCGGCACCCGCGATGGGACACCCAAAGAGAGAGCACACAGGCACGGCAGCAGGACGAGAAGGCCTGCGCACTGGGCCGCCGCCCCCGCCCACCGCACCCCCCGACCGCGCGCCTCGCCAGGAGCAGCCAGGCAGACCCCCCCAGGGAGCGCAGTCGCCATCAAGAGGAGGAGCAGGAGGAGGAGGAGGAGGAGGAGGAGGAGGAGGAGCAGGAGGAGGAGGAAGGAGGAGGAGGAAGGAGGAGGCGGAGGAGGAGGAAGGAGGAGACGCCCCGAGGCCAGAGTTTTTGCTTCGAGCCGCGCGCCCCATAGCAAATCCTCGACCACTCCCCCGCGAGAGCTCGGCTTCCCCCCGCCCCGAGCGCCGTCTCCTAATTGAGGGGCCCCGACGCCGGGGGCAGGGGGCCCCCCGAGAGGCCGAGAAGACCGTGACATACACCGCCGCCTGGAGGTCTTCCAGAGCTCTCTGGACGCCTATAGGATGGGCCTGTTTTCCACCACCACCACCACCATAAGTTGGAGGGGGGAAGGATGTGGAGGAGGAGGAGGAGGAGGAGGAGGAAGAAGAAGAGGAGGAGGAGGAGGAAGAGAAGAGGAGGAGGAGAAGAAGAAGAGGAGGAGGAGGAGAGGAAGAAGAGGAAGAAGAGGTGGTGGTGGTGGAAAACAAGCCCCCGACTATAGGCTATGAATTCTCATCGCCGCTCTCCCAGCCGCCGGCCAGGCTTGCCAGCGTTTTTTTTTTTGTTATTCGGCGTTTCGACATGGAGCGGAGAGGAGGGGGAGGGGGTGGCTCTGGCTCCAGAGCTCTGCTCAGCGCGACTGTTTGCGACAATGCGTCCTACGAGGGGAGGCTCCACCCGCTCGAAACAGGCGCCAAAAAACAGCCAAGATCTACTTCATTGGTGGGGGGGGAGGGGGGGGGTTGGGGGCCCGCGCCGATCGGCCAAACAATGAATAA